CAACCGCCAGGCCTTTGGAATGCTAATTCCATATGGGGCCCCACCTACGCGGAGTTACTGGGATAGTCTTCCAGGGGCTAGTGTTGACCAGCAGTTAGCTGCGTGAAGTATACGTCGCTAGATGCTAGGCTCACGGAAGACTTAGTTGAAAGCCACAGAAGGTTTGCACGTCGACGAGTTGGATGCTGTATCTGCAGTAGAGAACTTGACCGCGCTGGCAGTGCATGACTGGCCCCTCACGTTCAAGCACGCCTGGCTAGATTTCAATCTTGAGGCGTCGAAGTTCATCTCCCGGCATAGCTTCTTCGAATTCCACTTCGAGTTCGTAAACCCAAAGCCCTTGTAGATGCTGGGGCTGCAGCAAGAGCCGCACGGGGAGCGACCGCAGATACGGCCAGGGATGTGTGGAAAGGGCTTCAGCACGTAGCCTTCTTAGGTTATCCCTCGGGTATTGATGGTGCCGAGTAAAGACCCATGAGGTCTTGGAGGATCTGAATTTCGACGCCGAAGCGGGCTTGTGTTTGAATAGCAGGCACAGGGGCCGAGGATGTCGGTTCCCCAGAACATGTGAGTCTGTTGGGTGTCTCCCTTGCCGCATGAACACTTTGCGCAGGAGCCATGCCTTGACTCACATTTGACTCATTTGACGGACTTTCCTCAACTCCAAAGCGGACTTGTCATCCCCTTGCTGTTTGAGTTTTTTTCCACCATACATGAGAACCTCAATATTGAGAGCCTAATTTGCAGACCATCTTCACTGGAGGGATAGGTCCTGGAATCATGCTGTGGTGGCCTGGGCCCAGATCTTGTGCGGCGAACGTTTCGTTCCGCACCCGCAGTGTGCTTCCTGAGCAGGAGATGTAGGAGTCAGGGCCACAGTCAAGGGCACGACTGGCCGAAAAGTGGGCATGTGCACTGTTCTTGTGTTTGTATCAAATGGTGTAGAGACGATGGTAGACACAGAAGCTGCACATAAACCCGAAATGGGCGATTGAGATTGAGATTGAGGCTCGAGGTGGGTTTCAGACTCACAGTGTGCCCGATGAAGAGGAGAAGCCTCCAAAACGTAAACGAAATTAGGCCCACAGCCCACATAGCGAGTCCTTGCCCTGGCCAAGTTAAGTTCGCCTGCGTCACTCACAGCAACTGGGCCACCGGATTTAGCCGCTGCTGCTTTGGCCCCCAAGACTAGCGATTTGTTGGATTTTTTGCCAGATCTTCGGTTGGTGTTCGTTTCCCCGCCATGGCCATGGAGCTTGAGTATCGAAACACATTCATCGACGTGAAGGAGGAGTTCGAGGACATGGCGGGCAGCTCCAGCAAGGCCCGTGCGCAGAGCTCGCCGCCGGGGCGCGTGCGCCGCATCAGCTTCAGCCTGGAGGCTGCCAGCGAGGAGGACGCCATGCGCAGCTACGTGGGCACCCTCTCCCAGAAGACCGCGGACCTGACGAAGAAGCTCCAGGAGGACCAGACGCCCACAACAGCATGCGGCTCCAGCCCTACCAGCCCAATGAGCTGGGATGACAGCCCTGGCAGCCAAGTGGGCGTGGAGCATGTACCCGTCTTGGCGGAGTTCTTCCCGCTGCTGCCCAGCCAGGGCAGCCTTGGGCACCCGGAGGTGTGTCGGCGCCCCTGCATCTACTTCATCGCCGGGCACTGCGAGAACGGCCGTGCATGCGCCTACTGCCACATGGAGCACACGGAGAAGACGCCCAAGCTCGACAAGAGGCAGCGCACGATCATCCAAGGCCTCACCCGGCCGCAGTTGCTTGAGCTGGTGATGCACTTCTGCCGAAGCAAAGCCGAGCAGGCGGGATTCCTCGAAGAGGCCAGGGAGATTCTGGGGCTGCTGGCCCAGGAGTCCGCCGGTGCGCGGCCTTTGGCCCAGGTCGTGGCGGACCGCGACCTCCGCAACCTCCACAAGACGCTCGCGCGCATGAACTTCTCCAACTTGATCGGCCTGGTGACGCACCAGTCCCCCAACCGCGTGGGGAACGCCACGCCGAGCGCCGACCTCCTGGCCGCGTCCCTGGAGCAACTCCGCCGGCACTTCCTGCCGGCGGTGCGCGCGTGAGTTGGAAGTGGAGGGTCCCAGTCGCACAGAGCCTTAGTTTCAAAGGGCAGCCTGGGAGCACAGTGCCCTGCCCTACCCTGAGCAGCAAGCTTGAATTGGTGCGTGCGCCACGCGCAGTGTGAAGCCTTTCCCAGATGGCTGTTTCTGGCTTCGCAGAGCAAGCGGGCTGCCCGTGCTGAGGGCAGGGGTTGGCATCATCTGTTCAGCAAATTAAGCGAAAAGACAAATATATATGTATATATATATGTTTTTGCACATACAAATAGGAACACATAATTGCCCTAAACGATAACCCCGAGAGCTTTCCACGTGTGAAACTCGTAACGGTTACCACCTTCCACCTTTGTTCATTTCCGCCCCTTAAGGGTGGAGAAGTGGAAATGCGGAAGTGGGAGCGAGGTACTGTAGAAACTCACAGGGTGTGGGAATATGGGGAAGTTGAGACTTCTCATTCAAGTGGAAATGTGCAAATGTGTGCAAGTTAGAGGGTGGAAACGCAGAAACCTAAGCCCCGAACCCTAAACCCTAAGCCCTAAGCCCTAAACCCTAAGCTCTAAACCCTAAACCGTGGCAAGCTAGAGGCTGGAAATGTGGACACGGACACACACACACACACAGGGTTTAGGGATAGAAAAGTGATCGGAAGTGACCCTCATCAGAACGTTGGTATTCAGACTGCGCGGTTAGACGATGCAAACTGGGTTGGGGCTGAGGTGACTGGACTGATAGAAGAATGAGGAGCCATCGCAGTGTAAACGTGGTTGATGATGCCCTTGTTTAAAACAGCAAAAGGGTAAGTACATGATCCAAAATTGTATCACCTAACAATATTGACTTCCCTCCATTCGCTTCTTCAGCTCGAGTCATCCTTACTCGAAGGGATTACCTCAAATGTCTGCAAACAACCGACAAGACCCCTAAGTTTGAATGAACTATTGAATAATTGAACAGGTTATACGGATGTCAAAAAGAAGCCGATACCAGACTCTTCAAGCACACCGCCCAAAAGTGACCGCGGAGAGACAACGAGGCTTCAACCCTAAACCCTAAACCCTACACCCTAAACCCTAAATCCTACTCCCTACACCCCAAACCCTAAACCCAAACCAAAAAAGAAAAATGAGAGAGAGAGATATATATATATATATGTATACATATACATATATATATACACATATACGTGTTCATCGCAAGGTTGCTGGTCAACCCCTAGCTGTCTCAGGAGATATGAGAATTTTGCGCCCACATGTCCCGCCAACCAAGTTGGATCAGGTTCGGAGCTGATTGCTGTTTGGACCTGAGGCGTGGGGATCGTCCTCCTCATTGCGAGGGCCTTTTTGAAGACTCTTGGGTCGTCCTTTGAGAGACATCCTGGCCAGTTGGGCCAGCATCCCAAAGGCAACCGGTTTTGCATCACGGGTGCTCCGCGTCCGTGGATCATGGATGGCCTCAGTAGCTCAGTAGCGCCCCTCCTTTCCACGAGCTTCAGGGTACGCCTGCGTGCCTTGCAAGGTCCAAACTCCCCAACAGGTAGTGTCTGCCGTTTAGGGTTTAGGGTTTAGGGTTCTTGGTTCAAAAAAGGTTTTCGGAAAGCAGGGTTCGGTGGGCACGAGGGCTCTCTGCGCTGGTGTTCTTGCGACTTCGGGTTCAGGGTTACAAACGGGTTGAGGGTTTAGGGTTTATAGGGTTTATGGTTTAGATCTTGCTCAATAGCCAATAGTCGGCTTCCGATTTGAACGTGAACGGCCGGCACCTGTGATTTAGATTGTTCTGTGTCTTGCTTGTTCGAAGAACAGTATGACGCTGCCAGGTGCAGCCCTCAGAAGCCTGTTGCAAGGGCTGCACTAAACCCTAAACCCTAAACCCTAAACCCTAAACCCTAAAGCCCACAGGCGCGATTCCAAGCAGGCACCGGGGGGCCGAAGACGTGCCCGTCCCTCACATGATGTGCGGCCCCCCTCTGCTGCATGAAGATCTTGAGCGGCGCGACCCGTCGCCCGCATCATAGCTCTTCTATGGGTTGGCTTTTGAGGTAAACTTGTTCCTTCTTGGGTATATGAGGGAGCCTACATATAGATATATATATATATACATATATATATATACATATATTATACCTATATATATATATTTTTTTTTTCAAAGGTATATATATATATATACATGTTTGTTTATTTACTTATTTAATTGCTTATTTTTCAAAGGGTCTTAAGGCCAACCAAGTCTTGGAGAGATGTTTGAAGCATGTGCTTTTGGTTTATCAAGAGAAAGCAGGCCGAAGCCATCCGTTGAACTTGTAAACCCTAAGCCCTAAACCCCTGCCCCCTAAGCCCCCTGCCCCCTAAGCCCCCTGCACCCTAAGCCCTAAACCCTAAACCCTAAACCCTAGATAGCGCGGCCTGGATATTGATAAGCCTGCACTGGAGAAGACCTGGTCTTCAACGGGCTGGGCCTCTTGTGAGAAACATGCCGAGGTTGTGCCCGCCCTCGTCTGTTGATGTTTTCGGACGGGCCGCTCGAGCTTGATCTCGTGAGGTTGCCTTTCTGAGATGAAAGAGTGGTCGCCATTCACTAGGTTCACGAGGCAGAACCCTAGGCTCTCCATGAAACAAACTGCCGCAAAGAACGACCACAAAGAGAGCCCGTGCAGTCAAACCGAAGCATGACTCAGGCTCCTGTATGGCGCTCCTATACATCTTCGATTTCCATGGTGGGATGGAGTTCAAACACCTGTGAGATTTTGATCATCCATCACCCGTGGCGGTGCAGATATCGCAAGGGGCACCTAGGACTTCGGAAGAACACATGAGCTGTCGGCTTCAATCGTGACCAGCCGAGTTTCGCCGCTCCCCGGCTTTGGCTTCCAAGCGCGATTTAGCGTTTTCTTTGCCTTCCAAACGAGAAGTGTAGGCGTTTGTTCCCTGCCATGGCCCTGGAGATCGAGTGTCGCAACACTTTCATCCACCTGAAGGAGGAGTGCGAGGACATGGCAGGCAGTAGCAAGGTTCGCGCTCACAGCTCGCCGCCGGGGCAGCTGCGCCCCACGAGCTTCGGAATGGAGACTACGAACGTTGTCTCCCGGAAGAGCGATGGCCAGACGCCCACCACAGCATGCGGCTCCAGCCCTACCAGCCCAATGAGCTGGGATGACAGCCCTGGCAGCCAAGAGGGCCCGGAGCATGTACCCGTCTTGGCGGAGTTCTTCCCGCTGCTGCCCAGCCAGGGCAGCCTTGGGCACCCGGAGGTGTGTCGGCGCCCCTGCATCTACTTCATCGCGGGGAACTGCGAGAACGGCCGTGCATGCGCCTACTGCCACATTGAGCACACGGAGAAGACGCCCAAGCTCGACAAGAGGCAGCGCACAATCATGCAAGGCTCCTTGCTTGAACCAGGTTATACTTGAAGAAGGTACTTTCCGGTTGCAGTTCATTGAGCTTAGACCCCTACCTACATGCTAACGGTCGTTATATCGACCTGGCAACCCGACTACAACTAGTCACCAAGTCCCATGAGCCTGCAAGAACGCATGTGCTCACCCATCAATGTGTCATTGTCCTCTAATACCCTTTCCGGTGTTGTAGATATCTAATGGTACTGAACAGCCGGTCCCCTGAAGCCCCTAGGATCCGCACGAAAGACATACCTGGTCCGGAATTGCTAGGACTACCTGTTGCTTTGCCTTGCTTCAGGCGTACATAACAAGATAACATTTCGTCGGCACATGAGGGGCACCCTGTCTTCGGAAATGCCCACGCACACACGTGTGTCACGATGCTACGATGCTGGCAGTGGAATTGCCCCAAATCCTAGACCCCAAAGTCGAAAACCTAAACCCCAAACCCAAAACCCTAAACCCTAAACCCTAAACCCTTGGTACACTTCCTAAACCCTAAACCCTAAACCCTAAACCCTAAACCCTAAACCCTAAACCCTAAACCCTAAACCCTAAACCCTAAACCCTAGACCCTAGACCCTAGACCCTAGACCCTAAACCCTAAACCCTAAACCCTAAACCCTAAACCCTAAACCCTAAACAGCAAAGCTGCAAAGGCCTGGGCTGGTCGCAGTTGCTGGCGCAAGTCTTGCAGCTGCTCGCTACATCAATTGAGCACAATCCTCTACATTCCTGTTCGGGTTTAAGGTTTAGGGTTTAGGGTTTAGGGTTTAGGGTTTAGGGTTTAGGGTTTAGGGTTTAGGGTTTAGGGTTTAGGGTTTAGGGTTTAGGGTCTCGGGTTTGGGGGATGTTCCCCTTCTACGAACAGTCCTTATTAGGGAATATAACCGGGCGTACTACAATCCCTTTCAGGCTACAAAGGCCCAACCTGTTTTAGGGTGTAGGGTTTTATGATGTAGGGTTTATTTCGGGTTTAGGGTTTAGGGCAAGTTTAGGGCAAAAAGCAGACCGGCCCCCTCTCCTGGGAACCTCAAGGACGCAAGGAGCAATGGAAGAAGGAGGGACATAGGCAAGGGCAGGCAGAGTTTTTTTTGTTTGTCGGCAGGTTGGGTCTAGGGAAAGCCTGAAACAAACAAACAAACGAACAAACAAACAAACACAAACACACACACCCACACACCCACACACACCCACACACACCCACACACACCCACACACACCCACACACACCCACACACACCCACACACACCCACACACGCCCACACACACCCACACACGCCCACACACGCCCACACACACCCACACGCCCACACGCCCACACGCCCACACCCCCACACGCCCACATACCCACATACCCACACACCCACACACCCACACACCCACACACCCCCACACCCACACACCCCCACACCCACACTCCCACACACCCACACACCCACACACCCACACTTCACACACCCACACTCCACACACCCACACACCCACACACCCACACACCCATGCACACACCCACACACCCATGCACACACCCACACACCCACACACCCACACACCCACACACCCACACACCCACACACCCACACACCCACGCACCCACGCACCCACGCACCCACGCACCCACGCACCCACGCACCCACACCCCCATGCACGCACGCACATGCACGCACGCACATGCACGCACGCACACCCATGCACGCACGCACGCACGCACCCACCCACCCACGCACGCACGCACGTTCTCACTTACCCACGCATGCACGCACACACACACACAAGGCCTCAGAAGTGACGCCCGAGACAAAACCCAACACTCTCTGAACCCTTTGGTTGCGCCGCCTACAACCCTCAACATCTAGGCCCCCCCCCCCTGAAAAAACAAGCAACAACAACAAAACAAAACTTAAAGAACCCCCCCCCCAAAAAAAAAGCAAGCAACAAAAAAGCAAGCAAAACAAAACAGCCCTCAAAAGATCAACAAAAAACAACAAACAAGGAACTAATTTCCCAAAAAAGAAAGCAAACAACCAAAACAAACAAAACATGGCAAAATAAACCCAAGAGCTAAACCCTAGACCCAAACCCTAAACCCTAAACCCTAAACCCTAAACCCTAAACCCTAAACCCTAAACCCTAAACCCTAAACCCTAAACCCTAAACCCTAAACCCTAAACCCTAAACCCTAAACCCTAAACTGCCCTAAACCCCTTGAAGCCCCCCTGAGGTTTTGCCGAAACAGGGCTACCGATGCCGGCTTCCTCGATGAGGCGGCGGGTGCGGTCACCCAAAGGGGCGTTCTGAGACTCGTAGCCCTTCAGGGTTTAGGGTTTAGGGTTTACGGGTTTAGGGTTTAGGGTTTAGGGCTTAGGGTTTAGGGCTTAGGACCCAAAGGGCCCAATAGCCCTGAAATTTCAGGAATAGGCCTTAAATTCATATGTAGGATCCCTACATGAATGAAGGTCTATTACTTAAGTGGGCATGCTGGGCACCCCTTCAGGATTGTACCTAAAAAACACTTCTTTTAATACATGGCCCTCAATTATGTTGCCCTCCTTAATATACTCCGGAGCTGGTAGTCTAAGGGGGAGCATCCCAACTTCAAGACCCTAAACCCTAAACCGTCAACCCTAAACCCTAAACCCTAAACCCTAAACCCTAACCCCTAAACCCTAAACCCTAAACCCTAAACCCTAAACCCCTAAACTCCTTCCGGTCAGGCCGAAGAAGTCTTGACCCTTCTCGAGCAGGGCGCGGTGGCGGCGCCAGCGCTGCGCTTTGATTGCAGTTGGCTGGAGCTGTTTCGGGTTTAGGGTTTTAGGGTTTAGGGTTTAGGGTTTAGGGTTTAGGGTTTAGGGTTTAGGGTTTTCGTTTGGGACGCTCCCCCGTATACTAGCAGCTCCTGAATTGGGATTATAGTAGGGGGGGGGGGTACTAGAATCCCCTATTAAGGACTGCCCTTAAAAGGCACGATAATAGCGGGGGGGGGGGGGGGGTGCGAGAATCCCTATTAAGGACTGCCAGCATGAAGGGGGAACGTGCCAGAGCTCATGGGGCTGAAGGGAAGCATCGCTTGTCAAGCCTTGCTAAGCGCGGGGAGTGCTGTTGACTTGCCGTTTAGGGTCTAGGGTTTAGGGTTTAGGGTTTAGGGTTTAGGGTCTAGGGTTTAGGGTCTCGGATTTAGGGTTTAGGGTTTTAGGGCTCCCCCCCCCTTTTCCCCCCCCCTCCCCCCCACGCAGTATGCAACGGAAAACCAAGTCCCGGAGCCCGGAACTCAATTGTAAACACCCGCCCCCCGGCCCCCAAAATGGAAACCCAAAGCCCCAAGCCCGCAAACCCCCAAACCCCCTAAACCATAAACCCTAAACCCCAAACCCCAAACCCTAAACCCTATGCCAGGAATCACAAGAAGGGCAGTGGGCTCCTGGCCCACAAGAGGCCTCTGCAATCAGAACTCCTGGGCCCCAGAGAGATTGAAGGAATTACGCGCGGGGGGGGAGGGTGGGGGGGAGGTTGCTAATGCATGGGAAGACAACGTTACACAGCTCAAGGGCGCAAAAGTGTCTAGCTGGGTAGGTGCGGAGTGTTGCCGAAGCCTGAGCGCTCGAAGGCCTCCAGAAATGTGTCGCTGCTGTTTGGCCCGCGAGGGCTCGAGGGCCTACATGTTGCCGGAAAGGAGCCGGCAAGAACGCAAAGCACGGTGTCATGTTGAGGCATGGCAGGTATCCTTAGATCCAGAAAACCCTATAGCCCCTCAACATTGCTAATGGACCCTCCCCCCCCCCCCCCCAAAAAAAAAAAAAATCTAAACAGCCCTTCACACCCCAAAGTCATCCCGAAAGCACAAGCTAGACGGGTGGCAAAAACAGTCCGAAAGATCCTTACTAAGAAGAAAGAAAACCCCACAGCCCTGCACCTCACACCCTACACCCTACACCCAGAACCCTAAACCTCCCAACCCCCAATCTGCAATCGTGGCTGAGGTCCATCCCGGAGCGTGAGCTACGAAACCTGCACAAAACGCCCCTGGAACTGGCGAAGTCTGTGAAGTCACGAAAGTGACGGTTCATTTTGGGGTGTAGGGGCTCTGGGTTTGCGGTTTAGGGTTTTAGGGTTTCGGTTGAGCGGCGTTGCTGCATGTGTACTGGCTAGACCTCAGACCTGCTTTGACAAGTGGCGGGTGATCGGGGTTATCTGTGTTGGGGAGCAGTCTGTGATGGTCACTGTTCATGTTGATGTTGGGTTGTCACGGGAGGGGGAGTGGGCCACCGACAATTCCAGGCACCAGTTGCAGTCCTCTGAAATAGTCCCCTGCGTCTGCGCGAGGGCTGGGCGGGTGGCAGAAAGTCCAAAACCCCGAGGCCCTAAACCCCAAACCCCAAACCCTAAACCCTAAACCCTAAACCCCAAACCCCAAACCCTAAACCCTAAACCCCAAACCCTAAACCCTAAACCCGAAACCTTCCCACGGACCTCAGAAGACCCGAGGCTGGCCAGGATGAACTTCTCGAACTTGTGCCCTTGGCCGCATCCTTTCGGTGAGGAGTCGGCATTTTGGGGTTTGGGGTTTAGGGTTTAGGGTTTGGGGTTTAGGGTTTGGGGTTTAGGGTTTAGGGATTGGCATGTGGGGTTTGGGCTTGAGGCGGTTGAGGGTTGTTGAGATTTTTGGGGGGCACAGGGATGTAATTAGGGTTTAGGGTAAGTTCAGGGTTTAGGGTTTGAGGCTTTGGATCTGGGGTTTAGGGCCTTGGGGTTTAGGGTAGGAGCTTTGGCAGGCCCTCTTGAACAGAACGGGATGGGGAGAGGGGGAGAGAGAGAGCGAGAGAGAGAGAGAGAGAGAGAGAGAGAGGGAGAGAGACAGCGAGAGACAAGAGGCAAATGAACCAGAAAGATGGCAAGCCCGGCGATGGGCGGGGAATGTTTGGGGTTTAGGGTTTAGGGTTTAGGGTCACTAGGGGGGAGCATCCAACACGAGCCTCCAGATAGTTCCACAACCGGACCGGACACGGGCGCG